AGAGAGAGAGAGAGAGTAAAAAAAATATATAATCCTTCCACTGAAAGAATAGCTTATTGCGTTATAAAAACCAATTTATACTGAAGTTAGCCTCTTTTTTCTCTTATGTATTACTCCCTGTTATGTAAAATATCTTCAAATGTGATGAAAATTATGTGAAGTAATTTTTGTGTAATAATTAATAAATTTTATGAATAATTACGATAATGGCTTCGCTTCGTAAAATTCAATAAAATTACAACGCCATCAGTGACTCGCTGAAGCGTTATCTTTGTAAAATGCAGATTGCCTTGTGTTTGATTCACAGAATTTCAAGGCTATGTCAGCCGACGCCGATGTTTACGTGATAATCCGAATTGTATATGCGCGTGAGAGGTTGTCAATAATATTCGAGGAAGCGCTTCCAGAAGACACAAATTATAACTAAAGATACATATGCGCGCACGCACACGCACACAAACACAACAAAAGCTTACTTTGGCAAAGTGGTCGCGTAACATGCGAATTATCGCGTATCGATAGATAAAACTATGCTAAAGCAGTACTTTAAAGCGCTATCAGTGTTATTATCAGCATCTTTGATACGCCATCAAAAATACCCAGCGTAGAATGCTCGCGTCCACAATATTGGTAAAATCTCACAAACGTCTTAAGAAGTGTATAATTATCCTTAAACTGTCATTTGTCGATAAATAACCGTCCCAAGTGCTATAATAACGCTGGGGTGCGTTCCGAATGAACGTCCGGACGACAACTTTTTGTCCAAAACCGTTCCGTTTACCGTGATGTGACGTCATAACCGCGTTCTGTTTTACAATTTCCAAACGCTCGGACGACAACTTTTCATCGTGCTCGAGACTCCGACAAGAAACGTCTCGCATGCGCAGAACGACATAATGTAATAAAGCGCGATGACAAAATATATGTAGAAGTGTGTTGCAGGTTAGATTAGGTATATTCCATCAGATTTATATAGTTAAATATACATACCAAAAATATATATTAAAATTTTGTATTTTTAGGTAAAACTTGTTAGATACAACCTAACCTAATGCAAAAACATTCCAGAATCGTTCCGTTTCACGAACCAATCTCGGTATGTGACATCACACTTCGTCTGGATGAATCATGAAGTAAGAGTAAGGAGACTTAACTGTGTAGACTGAAGGTGGTCACGAAAAATGTTCCGTGTACTGCCATGGTGTAGTAAGAATGGTGAAACATTGCGCATAGTAATGGCGGCACGATGAGCGAAGCCAATGAAATTTAGGTCCATATACACCCCGTGCAATTTGAACACGAAGTAATACAAACTATACAAAAATACAAATAACAACAAACAATTATTTAAAAAAACAAACAAACAACTAACAAACAATTAGAATAATTGTAGTATTTGAATAAAAATTATCGCACAACCATTGTAGTTAAAATTTTTTAACTACAATTTTTTTTTTATTTATTACGGTTTATACTTTACAGCTAATTCAAACTTCAAATCAAACAAGGGGCAACCATATTGCTTTTGAACATTTGGACCCGATTCTTATTGGTCGAGACAATGGACTACTGCGCATCCATGATGTTGTTTCACCTTTCTTATTACACCATGTGTACTGCCATGTCCGCCGAACGGAATAACTTGCAACATTTCATCGCTATATTGAATATTTATATGTGTACAGTATACTTGCGACTGTGTACACGTATGTGTACACATATACATAATATATATCAAATTGGGATGACAGATATCTTAACCTGTAAAGTCTCGAACTTTAACGCTTAATAACTAGGTTTACAAGGCCGATCCCCGCATTTTTCTTATAGATCAAGCGACGCGGTAGCGTCGCGACGCCAAGTGCATAAAATAAAAATATAACCGTTTGATATGATGACATGATACTTGATATGTGTATATGTTCATGTCGATGTCAAATTCACGACGCTACCACTAGCTTTATCTCGAGTTTTCACATCTTGAAACTTTAGATTAAAATTACTCAGAATTTAAAAGCAGAATCAAAAATCTAAAAACACTTTTATTATATAATGTCATCGGTATCTTTCGATTGCGACCAGTCCGAATAAAATTGGTGCAGCCGATACCGAGATCTAGAGACCGAGTCCCGAAAAGGGTACGTTTCAGTTATGTTCAGACGTACGTGTGACACATACATGTATTTTTCAATCGTACGTGTGACACATACATGTAAAGCGTTTTGTCCATTAGGCTGCTGTTCACAATGTCTACATTCAAAAAACAGTCACATGTGTAATAACATACATATGTGTATAACACATGTATGTACATATGTAATAATAATAACACATGTATGTTAAATAATAATAAATAAATTAATAAATAAAAATTAAAATAAATAAATAAATAAATAAATGATAATAAATTAATAATAATAAAATAAATAACTTAAAATATTAATTATTTAAATAAATAAATAAATAATAAAATAAATTAAGAGAGAGAGAGACGCCGACGACAACGACGACGTCAGACGACGACGCCGACATCGACCGACGACGACGACAACGATGTCGATGTCGGACGACGACGCCGAACTACAACGACGTCGATGTCAGACGACGACGACGACGATGACGCTGACGCCAGACGACGACGACGACGCCGACACCGAACAACGACAACAGCGTCAATGTCAGACGACGATGACAATGATGACGCTGACGTCAGACGATGACAACGACGACGCCGACACCGAACGAAGACAACGACGTCGATGTCGAACGATGACGCGGAACGACAACGACGTCGATGTCAGACGACGACAACGATGACACCGATGCTAGACAACGACAACGACAGACGATGACAATGACAAATGTATAAATATTAGCCGAACAGCAACGATGACCGTCGAATGACGAGAGATAGAGAGAGAAAAAGTGAGAGAGAGAATCAGTAGTAGAGTAGGAAAGAGAATTGAGGGCATAAGAGCAAGAAATGGTAAAAGAGAGAGAGAGAGAGAGAGAGAGAGAGAGAGAGAGAGAGAGAGAGACATATAACAATAATAATCATTAATAATAAACATTATAAACATATCAAGCGACGCGGTAGCGTCGCGACGCCAAGTGCATAAAATAAAAATATAACCGTTTGACATGATGACATGATACTTGATGCGTGTATATGTTCATGTCGATGTCAAATTCACGACGCTACCACTAGCTTTATCTCGAGTTTTCACATCTTGAAACTTTAGATTAAAATTACTCAGAATTTAAAAGCACAATCAAAAATCTAAAAACACTTTTATTATATAATGTCATCGGTATCTTTCGATTGCGACCAGTCCGAATAAAATTGGTGCAGCCGATACCGAGATCTAGAGACCGAGTCCCGAAAAGGGTACGTTTCAGTTATGTTCAGACGTACGTGTGACACATACATGTATTTTTCAATCGTACGTGTGACACATACATGTAAAGCGTTTTGTCCATTAGGCTGCTGTTCACAATGTCTACATTCAAAAAACAGTCACATGTGTAATAACATACATATGTGTATAACACATGTATGTACATATGTAATAATAATAACACATGTATGTTAAATAATAATAAATAAATTAATAAATAAAAATTAAAATAAATAAATAAATAAATAAATGATAATAAATTAATAATAATAAAATAAATAACTTAAAATATTAATTATTTAAATAAATAAATAAATAATAAAATAAATTGAGAGAGAGAGAGAGAGAGAGAGAGAGAGAGAGAGAGAGAGAGAGAGAGAGAGAGAGACATATAACAATAATAATCATTAATAATAAACATTATAAACATATCAAGCGACGCGGTAGCGTCGCGACGCCAAGTGCATAAAATAAAAATATAACCGTTTGACATGATGACATGATACTTGATGCGTGTATATGTTCATGTCGATGTCAAATTCACGACGCTACCACTAGCTTTATCTCGAGTTTTCACATCTTGAAACTTTAGATTAAAATTACTCAGAATTTAAAAGCACAATCAAAAATCTAAAAACACTTTTATTATATAATGTCATCGGTATCTTTCGATTGCGACCAGTCCGAATAAAATTGGTGCAGCCGATACCGAGATCTAGAGACCGAGTCCCGAAAAGGGTACGTTTCAGTTATGTTCAGACGTACGTGTGACACATACATGTATTTTTCAATCGTACGTGTGACACATACATGTAATTGTAATTCAACTGCTTTACTTGAAAAGACTAGTATAACAACGACCAAACGTGTACTTATTATTCAATTATTATTATTTAAAGTTAATAATGAAGAAGTTATAAAGATTACAAATCTTAATATTAAATCCATACCTTCGTCAAAAATTTGTATCGGTGATAATATTTATAAAGTTAATAGTGCGATTCTTCATCATGGTAAAAATATAGACGAAGGACATTACACAAATTTATTGCGAGCTAAAGGTACAAAATGGACATCCATAAATGATTTAAAAGTTGAAGTATGTAAGTGGCCACGAAATGCAAAGAGCGCGTATATATTTTTCTTAGAACAAATCTAAATTAAGTACAAATAAACTTAAGTATAATTAAGTGTCAATAAATACAATACGAGTACATCTTTAATATTAAATAAATAGAAATTTACAAAATAACTATTTTAGAAACAGAATCTGTATTTATTTTTAGAGGATTTAAATTTCCTACATTATTATCACGTTTTCATAATTAACAAAAAGCAGTGAAATCCCATAAAAAACCTTTTTTTAAAAAAAGAAAAAAACATACGCCAAGTGCATATAAAAGATACTGAACTTCTTGATCAAAAACAGATATGAGATAAATATAATTGACCAAGTGTATTCTTCATTACGCCAGTCACATAAGACAGACCGAAAGTGACTATAATTGTCAACTGGATTATAGTGAAGAAAAAACTTGGCGTGCCCGGGTCGCATTAAAACGCAATATTCTAGAACCTTTTGGTTCTATCGCAATATTCTGCAGTATACACAATATATGCGAAAACAATTCAACAAAGAAAAGATGTTAATAATTGCTTACTGAACATATTATAATACTTAGTTGTGAATATATTTTCATGTCCCACAAATTATATCACTATATAGTGAATGATGATACTAACTATATCACTATATTATACGTGTATATTATACGTATATATTATACGTATATATCTGTATACATATGTCTGTTATTTTTATATTTTAATTTATAATGCAAATACTATGTTGAAATAATGTTTTCACTGAATACTGTTTACAATTAATGCGACCCGGGCACGCCAAGTTTTTTCTTCACTATAATCCAGTTGACAATTATAGTCACTTTTGGTCTGTCTTATGTGACTGGCGTAATGAAGAATACACTTGGTCAATTATATTTATCTCATATCTGTTTTTGATCAAGAA